ATGGGGTCCGTGTTAGGTGCTCATATGCGTGTCGTAAGCGAGTGTCCCAATGGGGTCCGTGTTAGGTGCTCATTTTACCGGTGTAATGTACAACCGTTTTTTTAACTTGCAAGTCAGTAGCAGATTTCCCCAGAAATGGAGAGGCGCAGTGAAGAAGCAGGTTATGTGGACTGCAACTCTGACAATGAAAACTGCTGTCTTTTTAACCTGGAGGGGGTGAGAAAATTTATCCGCCAGTTTGTGGTAAATTTATGAATCATGGATACGTCGTTTAAGCTTTTTTGTAGCTGATGTCTTCTGGCATTAATGATCATTGATATGGAATAATTATTAGTTTTATCGGTCTAAAATATGTCACTGATTTATTATAATTATTAGGACATTTTGTACAGTCATAATTTATTGCTTGTGAATAAGAATCGTGTATTTAAAACAATAGACATTAGAGATATATTTGTGTGCATTGGAATATTTGTTATTTCTTATAAAAGTGGCAGAATGTATTCTGTTTTCTAGTGCAAGCAAACGTTTCAATTGAATTGACTGTGCTTTTGAACAGCTGGCTGTTCTGAAAGGTATTTTCTTAGCCCCATTCAAGTGAATGTCTGAATATTATTTTGAAATATTCAACTAACTTTAAAATTGCAACTGAAAATTCATGAATGAACATATTTACAACTCATTCGACTGTGTATAACTGCTGCACTATCAACGTAGTCTTAAAATAATCTACAAAGAATTATAAAGAAAGTAAAGCTATACCTAATTAGGTTTTGGTGTGTCAGTATAATTAACTAAAGGAATTTATTAATTATGCACTGGGCCTACTATAATAACGTTTATATCGGTGAAAGCTAAAATTTGGATTAGGTAATAATGCCTGTGTTGCCCTGCAAATTATGTTATTGTGTTCAGTATTACCAGTATGAGAAAATTCCTTCTGGCATGGATTTCATGATGGTATTTACGTAATGTGAAAATAAATTACTTCTGGTGAATTTCCCCACTCTTGCGAATAGTGCAATCTGCTATCCTGGTTCAGTTGTTGATTCTGTGAGAGAGCGGTTTTATACGACCCAATAAACTAAGCTTTCTCGTTACGGCTGAATGTTAATTCCCCGGTGTAATTCCTGGGATCAGAAATATTTTAAAGCTAAGAGTCTCTTGCATCTGCAGCAAAGAGCAACGATGGCTTCTGGCAAAGTGTATTGGACTGACTGGGCCTATTAGTTTACATACGCTGGTGCAAGTTACTTGAATCCACGAGACAGAAATGAAACATTCATATATCTACTTCGTATTTAGGATTCCAGTCCGTCTGATTCAGTAACTACGACTGTAAGTTAAAGAATAATTATTATTAACTACTCTTTACAAGTTATTTTCCCTTCGACTATTATTGTTGAATGTTTTACCCTACTAGCCTGCTACACGAAGTTTGAATGTTTCTAGCGATGATCTGACACAACGTGTAGCTGTAAATGTTCTATCTGAATTCGTCCATCGACCTTGTTTCTTGACTAACACCACAGCGTTTCGGATGCTGGTTCTGAAACGTTGATAAACTTCTACCAGAATACACGATGCAACATCTAGGAAAAAGTCAGATAAATGTAAGAGAATTGACGAAGAATAAAATAAAATTAATTTTTCAAGGAGTATTGTCCTTCTTGAGGAGGTAAGAGTCGTTTATCTGATCACCGCCTTGTATGGAATAATCGGACTCATTACGCCACTTATGTTTGTCCTGAGCCAGATGATTCCAAACCTCACTAACACATTATATTTGTTCCTTTAAGATATATTTTATTATTCATCTAACTACGCACGTCCTCAAAATGTAATGTAATTTATATATCTGCAATAAACTGTTGAGAATGTTGCATTTAATTTTAAGTAATTTTACAACTTCTAGAATAGGGAAGGAAAATGGAGGTACAGTAAAACTCTCGTCAGCGACCAATTGAGAAATAACTTCCTGCACATCGTACTTAAACCATCTAATGTAACTTAGATTTTACCTCAGTATCCTAAATGTTCACAATTGGTAACTTTGGACACAAAACCGTGTAAAATCTTCACTGATTGTTTCCGAATAATTATTGACAACTTGTACTGTGGAATAATAACATATTAGACGCTCAAGACTGTCTTAAATACTGCATGTCCGTAAGTGTAAAGTCTTTTATCCAAATGACTGCAGATGGAACATGAAGCACACAATTTACGAAACACGATGCGAACAGTAAAGTCGTATAGTAAATCAGAATTAAGGTAACGAACACATGCAATTCTCTAACGAGCTCCGTGTTGTCGCAAGCCTTCATTAAACTATTAGCAGTTTAACTTCATCGTTCTCGTTGATACGCGTCACTCCTACTCACTAGATGGTTGTACCCTGTCGACAAATAAAAGAATTCCGTAAATTTTGAAGTCTGCTTTTATTTATATGTGATTTATTTGACGGCGTTGTCAACAACATCCATAAATGTAGTATTGGGAAGGCAAATCACAGATAGTATGAAGTTGTCTGTGAAAAATTGGAATTTCTTTCATTTTCTGGTTCTTTGGAATCTGTTTCTGTGACATATTTTCACATTCTATATACGTTCCATTCTGCATGACGTGCAATCTTAATTTTTGTACTTTTAAAAATTCGGTGAATAAGGTTTTCTGTTTTGCCTCGTGGTAACTAAATTGTTTCTTAAACTTTAATCGTCCTTATAATATCTATTCTGCATTCACCTGAAGAAATGTAGTTTAACAAAATAGTATCGCACACAAAATTTGAATCATATACCGTTTTTAAATTTGAACTGTCTTTTAAAATTTTATCTTTTGTTCTGTGAACTTTACGTACTGTACCTGGATTTTTTCTGAAAAGCTTTTTGTTTGCTTCTCATATCGCGTCTTATATACACTGTAGAAGTAGAGAAGGTCTAAGAGTTATTACAGATAAAATCCATTTGTTAGTCTCGGACGCACTGCAAACAACCACTTCAAAATTTGTGGCATATTCACTGTTTGCTTATAGTTTTGTCTTACTGAAGACATCTGGAATATGGAGCCTGTGACCGAAAGAATACAGAAATTGGACCATTCTGATTAAACCCTGAAAATGTGTTCGTGATCAGAGCATCGATTCTTGACTTGCAGGAGCACACAGACTTGTGTCAACACTGAGAGAAGCTGTCTTAGTCTTCATTTATCTTCTGTCTCCCTGTTCAGAAATTATCGACGTCTGAGACGAAGAGTGGTGTATGTGTGTTTCGCATTTCACTGCACGATTTTTCATAACGTAACAGATTTGATGGCTTTATTTAAAAGTTTGTTTAATTTTCACAATTAGGAATATTAATATTCTACTTTTAACGGTTATTAATAATAGTTACAAATATACACGATATGTAATGATGTGTACCGCAGCGAACTCTTGAAGTATATCGAGAAAACAGAATTTTCAAATTCAGTTATCCTGGACACGTGTAATACAGTTTTTCATTTGTACGTAATAGAAAGACCTGTGTGTATTGGTAACATAAATAAACTTAGCATCAAGCGAAGTGTAAATGTAGTGACCAAATTGGTGAAGGGTTAATTCTTAATTTACCGTTTTTAGCTAATAATGATTCTGAGTACTGTTAATTTTAATGTTTTGAAACTTAAATAGTTAATTACTCGAGTAGGCAATTACGTCGTTCTGAAAACTGGTCCATGTTGATGGAACGTAACGAGTGTTTTAGAGAATTTCGTTGAGTCGTATTGATGGAAGACAGCCAATTAAACATTCAGTCAGTTCAGAAAGCGGTAACTAGGTACAACTTCATTCGTTTCGACATTTAAACAACTCTGTAATTGGACTTGCATGTAGATGTTCCCTTAATGCATACCGGCATATCCGTACTTTTGATAATCTATATGGGTTTGCAAGTGTTTTTTAATGAAGTATATATAAATGCACGACCAATGGGAGTTTGCCAGTTTCTCCTTACCCACATTTAGTTTACAAACAGTTAATGGATTTAGATTAAATTCAGTATTGGCGGAGGTCTATGCCAACGTTACAGATTTGTTACAACCACTAATTTTCACGAAGATAAATGAGTGAAGAAATCTCACAGTATATAAAATGTGTTCTTAGCTTAAAATTTTGGTCTTATTGAGATCTTTAAGTCTTATTTGAAATGTTTTTAACTATGAAGTATGCCCATATGTAACACAGTTTAAGGAAACGTGGTTTGTCCTTGTATCCAGATTGCTGATTATCGTCTTTGACGATGTATTTAAACTTTATTGGTGCCCATATGTAACACAGCTTAAGGAAACGTGGTTTGTCCTTGCATCCAGATTGCTGATTATCTTCTTTGACGATGTATTTAAACTTTATTGCCTCTTTTATATCTACATTAACCTTTTATGAAGACATACATTTATAACTACATGTATCAACTGTTTTAGCATTCACTAAACTAACTCTGTGTTTTGTCCAGGGAATGTGTTGATGGTTTCCTTGAGATTATCAGAATCGGCAGCGATCATTTCCTTAAACAATGTACATCAATTTTTCTTTGAAACGGTGAAGGGCTCTACTTTTTTGAAACTGAATCCGAATTGTTAAGCCTTTAAAGCCGAATATCGTCCAAATAATACTTACATATTCGTTTCGTTATATTGAAGACTGTGGTGCGGTATTGTAGATTTTTCTGTTGAATTCCTCGCTTGACCAATAATTTTTCTAATTGAGAACGAAACGCAATTACAATTTAATAGCATTTAAATATTTTAAAATATTTAAAAAAATATTTATTAAAAAATATTTTATATTTTGATGTTGCAAACCAATTTACCTTTCCTATGAGTGACTGAACCTAACATTATTGTTATTCATGTGTTACGATTTATGTATGTACAATTAATGACTGAACCTAACATTGTTGTTATTCATATGTTACGATTTATGTATGTACAATTAATGGTATTTTAACCATTTTTTGTTTTAGTGACGTCTGTGGAGACTACTGCTGTACTAGCCGGTATTGCCAGATTGCCATGTGACCTACAGACATCGGGCCCCACCGACAAAGTGACTCTTGTGATCTGGTACAAGGACAGCGGTAGTAAGCCAATTTATAGGTAAGTACATTCATTAGAGTGGCTCTAAACGGACATAGAATGCATTAAAGGCTATTTTTTGAAGTTATGTGTTGTACGAAAATTTTATAGACTACTTTTCAGAAGGGATTAAATGAATAGAATCATAATTTGTGGTAATATAATTTCTGGTATAAAATTACATACATTTTCAAGATAATTTGTTTCTTTACTGGCATATTTCCTTAATTCAGATTTTTTAACCATCTAAGCGTCAGGAGATAAACTATCTCGTAAGACTGGATTTTACATTCCTCTAATTTAGGGCTTAATACTTAAGTCAAACTAAGCGTTCTCAGTTCCTGACTTTTCGTCTTCATTTGTTTTCATGTATCACTTGCATACGGTTTGAAGTGTTGATTAGAAACTATAAAATAAGGACAAATGGCTGCTTGAGAGACGGGAATGACGTTATGTAGTAGGAGCAGCATCGTTAAATAAATGAAATAATTGCTTGTCATTTTACTGTGACGCGTGCTGTGATGAAACAGCTGAAATTATAAGTTTTCAGCGGCGGATCTCGTGGGGAGATCTGACGTCAGAACATTTTTTTTTCCTCCGCGGTTACGCAAAATGTGATCAAGCAACTTCTTCAGGCGGAAAGGCATGAGCGTGGATGATTTTGTAGAAAGTGATTGAAAATGTGAATTTCTGTACGCGGACAATAAACTGTTGCTGAAAAGAATTTTTAGAGCAGAAGAAGCAATTAATTAAAAGCAACCGTTCTGGAAAACTAATTATTCTCAGGTAATTAACTTTTCTTGGGCTTCCATACGTGTTGTGCAATGCACAGTTTATGTATGTAAATTATTAACGAAGCTTTATATTTTTATGAAAGTTTATTTCGTGTTTGCCTTTGAAACTGAAGCTCGTCAAAATAATAATTAAAATTTCAGTTTGTACCTCAAAGAGAACACTGCACTTCGTTGCAGAGATCAAGTGATCCAATGCTGTTTAAGTAAATAATATATGCCTACACTGAGGATCGTACAAAGCTCATAAATAGAAAATGCAGAATTTCTGACTGTGGTTTGTATAGTTACCATTGGGCTTTAAAGAGTTAATGTAAAAATATTAAACTCTTATTGCATAACTTGTGTGAAATAAAATGAAACTTGATGATGTGTCAGATTGTGTTGTGAAAATGTGCAGAAGTCGATGCAAAGTTCCACGCGGTAACCTTGACATCATGTTGGGAGAATTTTTGTATAAAGTTTTGTTTGATCTCTTCTCCCTGGAGGTCCGATCCACCGATACCCATTCCACAGTACGCAGTGTGGAACCCAGAGTCGATCTGCATGTGACGGAAACAAGAATATTCAATATTTAAACAACACAATATACGTGAAAAACTTCGTATATCTTGCCCATAGGCTTGGATTTGTAAACTCGCAGCTTTACGAAAATGTCTTACCGCCCTCAGGTATAAAAATCGAACTCCGTTGTCTCTTTCGGCAAAGCTGGATTTCTTTCAACCGATGACGGAAATTGAATCACATTCCGAAATGTAAAGGTTTCAAAACTAAGGTCCAAGAGAGAATCAAAGTACCGGTCGATTCTTAACATTAAACTTGCAGCTGTCTTAGGAGTGACATGTTCAGGGTTTTGGTGGAGAGACGTCTTTCAAAGCGGTCACTTCAAAGGTCGAGGAGAATATAAAGAAACTAATTAACAGGGACCTTTCGGAGATGGGCAGATGATCGTTTACAGTCTTCAGTTCAATTAAGGATTTCGGTGTATGCGGTTCTGAACCTCCAGGTCACTGTCGGAGATTGTGAAGATTAGTTAATACACTATGCATGCAGCATTATCAATTATTTTACTCTAAAAGGTTGAAAAAATGCAGTGTCATATTAAGTACTGTTGTTTCTTTAGATTTGATACACCGTTCAATATTCTAAAAATGAAGGCATTACATTCCGGGAGCTAGCCTTTTTTTTTCGAATACTGAACGATGGATCCAGTTTAGAGAAAATGTATTCCTGAATGTATCAATTATACATGTTATTTACAGTAATGCAATATCGTCATGTTAATGTTTACAAATGATGGGTCTCTTTCTAAGATAGTGTGTTCACAAGAGCAGCGTTTCCTGTGATTAGGGAAGAGTCTTAAATTACTTGTTCCTGGTAGCGAACACCGTCTGATGATACAAAGTGCCTCTAGCTGAAATACGTTCTTTGTGTACACAACCTTAGTTCTACTGTGTACAGCCGTTTCGGAATGTTTGTCAACTGTCTCTTATTATTAGTAGCTGAGAAGGCGCCTTTGAGCGACAGGTGGTGCTGTTTCGTAATGGTACGAAGCAGTTGATGAAGATTCACGAAATAATATTTATTACATGATTTGAATACGTTACTGACAGAGGAGTATATCTGCACGGCGAAACAACGCAGAAGACGGCAGTCTTACAATTAAATGTACTTTTACACGGGCCAAGTTTACTTCTACGCGTTCCCAATTTCTCATTCTCGCCTCCATTTCGACCACCATATGACGTATGGAAATCAAAAAAGCCTAAAATAAATTAAAAAATAAATACAGGCTGTGTTAATGATGCAGTTGTATTAAAATCTACAAGGCATTTCCACTCGTCTTCATGTGAATGCAACGCTCCACAGTCTGCTGAGTTTGATAGTGGTCTTTCGAGGACGTGGACCGAAACTAGTTTGTGTGTTTGATGGTTCCAAACATCAACAGTGTGACAAGAGGAAACAGCACAAAGAGAGAACAGTTTCCAGTACGCAACTGTGACGCGTTTCGGTTCCAGTTGATAATATTGCTCGACGGTTGAAATGGGAAATTCTCTTCGCGGCTAGCAAAGACATCTGCTGTGTGATGTGTACACAGGACGTACAGCGATCCTGCAAGCAAAACTCAGCCCCAATTTGTGGCTTTGACACAAGTTCAATGGGTTGCGAATCTGTATTCTCTCCCTCAGCATGAACCACTCCGATTGTTGAAGAGTACATACATCCAGAACGTCATTCATGAAGGTCAAATTTATTTTTGAAACTAATTTTGTTCAAAATATCTTATTGTATAATTTGATTAAATTACGTTGTTACAAGTGTTTATCAACAGAGAAGAGCGTATAACAGGCAGACAATAATAAATATATATTAAAAATAATAAGAATAACGGGGTATGCAGTGGCCGCACGGTCTAAGACGTGGGCGTTGTGCCGCCTGGTCGCTGGGACCGTGGGTTCGAATCCCACTCAAGTCATGGATGTTTGTGCTGTCCTGTGTACAGGTAGAGGCCTTGCGACGGGCCGATCCCTCGTCCATAGATCGAGCCAACGAAAAGTTGGGACCCGCAGTGCTCAGGCACTTGAAGAACGGGTCGTTCCCAGTATCCCAGTAATAAGAATAACAATTTTAATAAAAAGAACAACATTCTTTCAATTTAAGTAAGAAGAAGTTGCTAGATAGTGTTCGGCAATGAACGCTCGTGGAACGTGTGAAAAAGACTTCCTTTTACTTAGACTGTTGAAAGACGACTGACGGAATGGCGCGGGCAGGTTACAACATGACGTGATCTGCGTGGGCTCTTGTATGGTCACAGCAATATTGTATTTATTAATTATATTGAATTGTATTTATTTACAACCATCAATAATTATTTTAATGTACACTGCGTGAATGTTCGGTCACTTTGTTCGGACTGATTTCATGCAGAAAAGCTCTTCTTGATAAGCTGAAAGTCGCTCATTTTATAAAAATGTCAGCTTGCCTTACGGAACCCTGAAATGGTCGCCTGTGGGCCCCCTCCACAAAGAACTGTGCCGTATGAGATTTGTGTTTCTCACGGCGCCGAGTTTGAAGATGACTGTCTTCTGGGACGTTCTGTCGTGTAGTCCCATAGAAACTGACCGACGTTTCAGATGTTTGCTGCACTACTATTATCGCCCTGATGATGGAGGCTTTAAGCATCTCTAACACGTCGGTTACTATCTACACGGCGAAACATATCAGAAGTTAGGCTCATCCCATACCCCGAGACTCTAAGTTTTAGGTACGTTTTACATTAACCTCCCTTATTCATGCTATCCCATCATGCGTGCTACATTCTGAACCAATTTTATCCTCCTTGATGACTTTCTACGCAGTAGTGTTATGTAATTTCACTATCAAGTGTGAATAAAAAATTGGATGAAGGTAAAAGTTTATAACCGTAGGAATGTCTTGTGTCTGAAATAAAATTAGAAATGTCGTTGATTTATGACTTTTATCTTATTGTTTATTTTAAGGGTAGTTTTGAGTGTTTTAGACTGTATTTTCACGACTTTTTTTACCTTTTGCCTCTCTTTGTGTCATACCTTTATTAAGTTTATAGTTTAAATGCGTCATGTTTGTGTTTTAAAATTCAAATATATAATATAATTCAAGTCTATACACAAACTTTAAATTGTTGATGTTAATCTGAACCTCCAGGTCACTGTCGGAGATTGTGAAGATTAGTTAATACACTATGCATGCAGCATTATCAATTATTTTACTCTAAAAGGTTGAAAAAATGCAGTGTCATATTAAGTACTGTTGTTTCTTTAGATTTGATACACCGTTCAATATTCTAAAAATGAAGGCATTACATTCCGGGAGCTAGCCTTTTTTTTTCGAATACTGAACGATGGATCCAGTTTAGAGAAAATGTATTCCTGAATGTATCAATTATACATGTTATTTACAGTAATGCAATATCGTCATGTTAATGTTTACAAATGATGGGTCTCTTTCTAAGATAGTGTGTTCACAAGAGCAGCGTTTCCTGTGATTAGGGAAGAGTCTTAAATTACTTGTTCCTGGTAGCGAACACCGTCTGATGATACAAAGTGCCTCTAGCTGAAATACGTTCTTTGTGTACACAACCTTAGTTCTACTGTGTACAGCCGTTTCGGAATGTTTGTCAACTGTCTCTTATTATTAGTAGCTGAGAAGGCGCCTTTGAGCGACAGGTGGTGCTGTTTCGTAATGGTACGA